GTGGTGTTGATGTTGGTGGTGTTCGAGGTGTCTGTGTAGTGCCTGTTGGTGGTTTTGGTGTCTGTGTGGTAGTGTGTGGTGGTGTGTAGAGTTTGTGTGTTGGTGTGTGGAGGTGGTGGTCATGGAGGTGTCTGTGTGGCGTCGGTGGTGTGTGGAGGTGGTGTTGGAGACGTGGTGATGATATTGTGGCATTCCGATTTTTATTTGATTTGCAATATTGTGGGATTCTTATTTATGTTAATTAGTTTTTTTCATACTAGTAATACAATGATAAAGATCAAAGAAAAATGAGAGATAAAGAAACAAAATTAATATTTTGCGATATTTGCCTCAAGAAGGTCGATCTGGGAAATAGGTTGACAACTTATTTAAACAAGAAATGGTAGCAAAATATTATTAAAAAATTCAAATAAAGTATAGGCAAAGAGTACGATAGGATGCAGTTAAAAAATAAGTGAGATCAGCCCAAGATCGATTGAAAAATTGGAAGGAATTGAAGCAATGAGCAGCGAGCTTTAGGTGGGATCCGTTGAAGCAAACGATTGACGCTGGTGTCTAATGCGAAAACATTTATTACTAGTATGAAAAAATTTATTACTAGTATGTTATATGAATTTGTAGGTGGTGTCTAATGCGAAAAGATTTAAATACTGTGGACTCAATCATGAGTTGGAGAAGTTGGATCGTATATTTGGGAGTGTCGCAGCACCGGGCAATAATGCAAGTGCCCCCAGTGAGACGGGGCTTGGTGGGATTCCCGAAAAATCTGGCAGCTGACCAATCGGGTGATTCCACTAAAGGCCCCAGCACGAATCTCCATAAACTTGAGTCCATGAGCCGCTCTAAGTGTCTGTGGGTTGAAAACAAAAAGAAAATGGGAGCTACTTTTTTTAAAAGTCAGATATCACAGTTGGTGGCTTCATGCATCAATGACCCTAGCACATCTCAAGCAACTTCTGTCTAGCAGGTTGTGCAAATTCTGAATGCAACTCCAGAATTTTCTCAGGACTTGCAGATGTATCTGTTTTCTATGAAGTTGCCTGAAGATGTGTCCCGGAGAGAGTTTTTAATCGCGATGCCCGTTGAACGTAGGGTGGTTTACTTGAGATATTTTTATGAGAGCAGAGACATTTGAGAGACATTTTTTTTTATTTACAATTGTCTGATACATTTCTATTTGTTTATAGTTTTTCATTTTATTTTGGATGTTTAAACTGCATTGGACATGTCACTTTACTTGCGAGTTTTTCATCATCGTTATGTTTTCTATTTACTTTTGTAATGTTATTTGCTTATGTTGGTTTTCTTCGTAACCTTATATGATTGTACTTAATTCATTGACGCTTATTTGCTAACAAAATGGATACCAAAATACATGGATGCAACCAGAGAAAGGAACAGAAGGGGAGTTGTAGCTGTTGTATGCTTAATGTATGAATATTATAACTCGTACATAGAACGTTCCCTTGCATAACATCCTCATATGTTGGCGACAAATGGGTTGGCGAGTTGCTTGCGTGTCACCCAATGGGATTTAGCAATATGTTCTGCATGACACAGGCAGTATTCACCGATTTGTTAGAGGAACTACACAAAAATTATGGACTTCATGACTCATCCTAAAATACTTTGTGAGAGGTGTTGACAATAATCCTCTACATATTATCGCAGAATGAATCAATGTAATGAGCTATGAAGCAATTTCAACACTCCTCTCAAACGATTTGCAGATACTTCTCAGTATGGTTAAATTCACTTGTAAGTTTTTCTTCAAAAGTCATAAAACTAACAGATCCTACATTCGAACAGACCCCAACGGAGATTTCAAACGATTCGCGATATATATATACTTTAAGGTAATTTCTCATATTTATTACATTCAATTTTCAAATAAATATCGTAATCATATAACCCTTCATTATCTTTTTAGAATTGTATTAGAGCAATCGACGGAACACACGTTGATGCACGTGTTCCAAATAATGAAAATATCACATCGATCGGTCGTTATAGGTCCCCGGCGCAGAATGTCATGGTGGTATGCAACTTTAACATGTGGTTCAGTTTGTCATGGCCGGTTGGGAGGGCAATGCACATGACAGTCGAATTTTCAAAACTGCAGCACAGAATAACAAGTACAATTTCCCGCATCCACCCATAGGTTTGCTTGAGACTAAGCTACTCTCCTAATTCATTTTTTTCTCAAAATTAATATGCAATTCACATTAAATAAATATGATTTGGTTGATGCTATATATCCGTTACAGCGAGGCTATATCAAACTCTAGCCTAATACGATATACCACATACCTGATTTTGAGCGAGGCAGTAAGTCATTTCTCCTTACGCGGTGTCATTAAGAGGACATTTGGTGTTGGAAAGAATAAATGAGCTATAGTTTGCGATATATCATATTAATTGTTTCCCAAACAGATACAGATTGTGATTGCCACAATAGTTCTTCACAATTACATTCGGCGAGATCCTTCACGCAATGACATCAACTTAAAGCAGACGAGGATCATAAGCATCTCCCTACCGAGGCATATGAGTACCATCTTGGACTGTCATAGTCACAGGCTGAAAATGATGTTTCCGATAACAGTATTTAAGACGGGAAATGTGCAAGAGAGATAGCAGAATTGAGTGAACGAATTACAGAAGCGATAGTAGGAGGGAGATTTGAGTATTCATCATATTATTAATTGTAATGATTGTTAAAGAGATTCAATTGTTATTATATTTGTATTTTATATAAGTCATGTTTATTTTCATTCCTTGTGTATTTGATATTAATTATTAATATTTTTTACGTTGTTTGTAAGTGCTTTTCTTTCCTTCTGCATTTCTTTTATTTTTCTTTTGGTGGATTTTAGAGGTCTGTGATGAGACGGTTGACCTTATGGTTTCTTCCTAATGGTTTGTTTGTCGCTATGGTTGGTGTCACATGTGAAATCCTAATAAATGCAATCAAGTATCACTTCTTTTCTGATGTTACTATATTAATAGTAGGAGGGAGATTTGAGTATTCATCATATTATTAATTGTAATAGTTGTTGAAGAGATTCACTTGTTATTATATTTGTATTTTATATAAGTCATGTTTATTTTCATTCCTTGTGTATTTGATATTAATTATTAATATTTTTTACGTTGTTTGTAAGTGCTTTTCTTTCCTTCTGCATTTCTTTTATTTTTCTTTTGATGGATTTTAGAGGTTTGTGATGAGACGATTGACCTTATGGTTTCTTCCTAATGGTTTGTTTGTCGCTATGGTTGGTGTCACATGTGAAATCCTAATAAATGCAATCAAGTATCACTTCTTTTCTGATGTTACTATATTAATAGTAGGAGGGAGATTTGAGTATTCATCATATTATTAATTGTAATAGTTGTTGAAGAGATTCACTTGTTATTATATTTGTATTTTATATAATTGATGTTTATTTTCATTCCTTGTGTATTTGATATTAATTATTAAGATTTTTTTACGTTGTTTGTAAGCGTTTTTCTTTCCTTCTGCATTTCTTTTATTTTTCTTTTGATGGATTTTAGAGGTTTGTGATGAGACGATTGACCTTATGGTTTCTTCCTGATGGTTTGTTTGTCACTATGGTTGGTGTCACATGTGAAATCCTAATAAATGCAATCAAGTATCACTTTTTTCTTATGTTACGGTTTTTGAAGTTCTTCTGGATAACTTTTTTTTTGTGATATGCATATGTGATACACAAACAGTGTATTACGGGTTAAAAGCAACCAATAACCCTTTTTTTATAAGGTAGCAAATTTGTTGGTTGATATATTGAGTTCTTTGAGACCTCACAGTTGCATAAGTCTATAATTAATAAGTTTTTTTATCAATTTTTACTTGTGCTATATCTACTGGGATGTCGTAAAAAGCATTCAAAAAAGATGAGCTCGAGGATTTCTGATACCTCCCGAGGATTGCACTGCTACTGTGGATTTCAATGTACCCTACTAACTTCATGTCAGTCACATAGCTACTAAAAACAGTTTTACAGGTGCCCTTGGAAAGCCCCGGAAAACTGTAACTTTTTTGGTGGGTAGATATGCTGGAATATTCCACTACCGAGAGAAATCGAGCATGGAAAGAATCTCTGGAGGACAGCTTAACACGTGACATATGTCTTCTGCATTTCAAAAATAATATTATCATATTATTAAACGTTATTTTAATAGTCTGTTTCTTAACTTTAGTAATCATGATACTTATTATTAAGTGAAGTGTATATTTTTTCTGTAATATTGTGCACTGGATTTCTGCTTCTAAGTATAAAACATATTAGTATGACAGATCTGTTGCAAACAGCATTATTATATAGAGACAGAGTGGTCATTTGTCCAGAAACAGCTGCAGTGGAACTGTTTTCAAACTGCAAAAAATAAACAGACAACTAGTTGATCTGCAGCAGCTTCTGCGTAGCAGGTTATTATTAAACTGCAGCTGCCCCAAATAGACTCTTAATATAGGGAGTTATCATGTTTTTGCTCACCAAGATGATAGGGCCAAAAATCATGGTGCAATAATGGTAAAATTGTCAAACTTTGGCCTACTTAACTCCAAAATCAAGGTTCAGGTTTATCAGATTGGGTCACATTTATGCCAAATCCATTGAATTGGTTGAAAATTGAGTTCAAGTTGACCAAATAACTTCCTACTTGCAATTAATTGCTTCAAATACAAAAATGGAAAAGCCTTGATCATTATTTCAAAACTCTGAATTGGGTTGGCTCGACTAGCTACATTGTTTGATATTCAACCTCAACCTTTAAATTAAATTATTCAAATCCAGGTGAAGCTCTCGAAACCAGTTTTGCAACTTTTAGATTAGTTCCAACCAGCTTTAATCAAACAGGTTAAAAAACCAACACATAAGTACATGCTTGAATAAGTTCAATCAATCAAGATAGAATATCTATATTCTACTTACACTGGAGATAAAGAAAATATTATACCAAATAAAACTTCATCATACCTTCCTTTCGGCTGCTGCTTGCAACTTGCTCCAAAATGCATCTACTACATTTAAAAAAAAAATTAGTACAACCAAAATCATCATATCGCTGCCTCGCCTTCCTATTCAGTTTAAAATAAAGGACTTTAATAACGAGTCCTCGTCTATAGATTAACAGCTTAAATAAATACAAAAATTACAAGCAATTGAGCTTGACTATTGCAGTTACAATTATATGAATTAAATCCCACAATCAACAAAATATAATGTCATTGAACAGGTTTGAACATTGGTAAGAAAGAAATCTCAATAATAACCATGTTATTTGACCTCTATGGTTTTAGAAACAAACAGTTTTGTGGACACGCCATCATTGTATTCACCCAAAGTTAATTTTAGGCCAAAATCTGTCAAAAAAATTTTTAAAAAGTACTTTAATTTAGATACCTTCTCAAATAAAATTTGCTAATTAACTGAACAATGTTTTGATAGAGAAAGACAATAAGGCATGGGGTTGAAACTTATCAGTCTATCATATTTGTCAGACTCAACCAACTACAAAACATAATATTTTAAAGAGCAGCCATACAATCACAGCTAATCAAATTAAGAACCCAACTAAAAACTGATGACCTTCTCCATTCTCCAATATGCTAAAGTTAAATGCATCATGAAGATATAACAGTACCTTTCCTTTCACCTTCACTTTCTATCAGTTCATCCATCTTATCCAACTCAGTTGAGCCTTCGACCAACTCTGTTGCCTGTCATAACACCATTGTTGAAAAGGATGCAAATACATTCACAAGAATAAAGAGGAAGTTCAATAAAAATAAGAAAAAGTAGATTCGACGGAAGACCTCTTCTGTGGAGTGTGAGCTTGATGCTTTTCCGGATCCATCCTGAAACTTCAATAGATACAGATGAAGGATTAATAATGAAACTTCAATAGATATGGGAATGGAGCATGATATTGGTTTTTTTTCCTTTTCTTTTCTGCTTAAGATACATGGAAAGCATGTTTAGGATCATTCTTACATGCAAAATTTTTTTATAATCCTGTCATTTCTATATCTATATGCGGGAATTTGCTGCGATGCTTTGGATAATGGTTTAAGATCCTACTTATGTTATTCTGCTTTCTGTTGTCTGTCCCTGTTCGAAGCATACATATTGAATGCAAATTTTGGGTTTTAATGTTGCAAGGAGGATCTGTTTTGGCCCATATGGTAGGCTTGAGTCTAGTTCCTTTTGGATTAAAGATTGGCTGGAAATATTTTCATTTATTTTGCCTCTTTACTGAGCTTGGGTTAGCCTTTATGCTGCTTGGTTTTGCCCTTTTTGCTGGGCTCGGTTTAGCCTTCTTCTAAGCTGAATTTAATTGAAAGTTTAATATTAATTTTTAGCCCACTTGGTAGGCTTAGTTTGAGCCCTTTTCGAAATCAAATTTATACCTGGAATATTTCTCTATTTTTGCTCCCTTTTGCTAGATTTGGTTCAGCCTATTTGCGGCTCGGTTTGCCCATTTTCTTGGACATGGTTTGGTGGTTGTTTTGCTCCTTTTCCAGGTTCTAACTGTGAGCTAGTTTAGAGCTTATTTAAGTCTGGTATATATATATATATATATATATATATATATTCAATTAGTATGTGTGCCATATAATTACATGCTGATCAAAGTTCATTTACAAACTCTTTAGTAGTAAGCTTGTTTATACCAATAGAATCATTTTACTACTTATTTACAAACTCAAAACTTATTTCGTTTACACAAACTAGCCAAATTCAACAAAATATTCAAATTGGTATGGTTTACAACAAAATAACTGAACCAAAACTTCAAAAAAAAACTGAGTTCATATTTAATTATTGCTTAGCAAAACAAGTTTAAACAGAGAAGAGCGAGCTTGATTCTTATAACACCGCTTTAAAGAAAAACCTAGATTTGGATGAACAAATCTGACATACAATTTCTAACCGAACTAACTTTCCCCAAATCTGGTCATCAGAAAAAGATATGACAGAAACCTCCTTCAAAATACAATGACTGCAACTAAAAAGATGCTTGCCGGTTATTTATAAAAGATGCAGCAGATATTATTTTCATCCAGTATCATAGTATGATTCCTTCAACCTCTTCATTGTATGAAATATTAAATCCCCTAAAACGTTCCCAAGGAAAACCGCTGGAAGGACTTCGATTGAAAATTCATGCAAAATTCATCAATGCCCGAACAGATTAGAGAATATTCATATAATTAATCATCAAAAATTGAAAAGGCATCACATCTCAAAGTAACAAAACAAGCTGGGAAATTCAAGGTGTAAATAATTGAAGAGCATGAGCATGTGCATGAACAAATAGCGTCAAATCAGAAAAGAATAAATAAACAAATAAACATTTAAAAATCAAAGGTTCTTATCCATCGTCTCTAACACGATTAAAGCGAATGAGTGCCATTACTACAGAGCACAGCATAAATCAAAAACAAGAAAAGGAGCGTCGAAGGAGCAGAGAAAGAATAACGAGTGCCAGAAATAGGCGTAAAAGACGGTAAACCAACGGTCAGCTGAGAGAAGATGGGGAGGGGGGGAATTACGCAATAGTCTCGCGATCGAACGACCGGAAAGAGATCGAGAATTCGTCGGAACTCCTGCTCCTCCATTTCAGACGGCGGATAAAGGGTTTCAGTTTTGTTATTACGTCGACGCATAGTTAAGTCAGTCCGGAGTAGGGCTAATTTTTTTCTTTTTTTTTTTTTGGTTCTACCGCCTAAAATAATTAAGAAAATGTTAATTTCACGTGACGCAATTCGGATTCTCCTCTTCCCCGACAGTTTAAAATATGTGAACCTAGCCCGAAATCATAGCAACATTCAGATAAAAAAATACATTTATGGCATATTTCAGCATTTTGTGAAGTTACGGTTTCTTCTTCTGCGGTTTCCAGCATTTTTTCTTCCTTCTTCTACGGAAAACCTAGGTTGGACGGTTTGCTTCCTCTTTGACACAAGACCTAAGGTTTTTTGGACGATTTCTTCATCTTCGCAAGGTCGACCTAGTGTTTATAAGTTGAGCATTGCGTCGATCGGAATCATACTATTCAAAGTTTTGATTTTTCTTTCTTCATGCTAACACACAACAATAGAAGATTGCAAGCGAACTGAAGAAGCTAGCGGGCTGCCAAAATCTTCGACATATTAAGCTACATTGTTTATTATAGATTGCAAGTTATTTTGTTTCATTATGTTATTGTTGTGTTTTTTATGTTGTTGTGTTATAATTGTGTTATAGTTGTGTTATTATTGTGTTATAGAAGGAAGAGGAAGTTGGGTTCCCCTGAAAGACAATACCTGTCAAAGACAAGAAAGAGAGTAACTGATGTTGTTGAAGAACAACTTGTAGAAGATATGACCCGACCTGCAATTATACAATTATTTTAGTTCTGAAATATGGTCAAAAGTTTGACCCAATTTATATTAAGCGGCTAGTGTGCAAAATTAAATATTATATAAAGTTGATAAAATGGTTTAAACACTAGGGGTACCACGCAAGTATAAGTATCGTTTCAAGTAATATAAGGCTCTAATGAAGTCCTAAGTATCGATCTCATAGGGATAGGCAAAAATCTTATAGGATGACTTTAGTCAAATCTTTTTTAAATTGTAGTTAACTTATATATGAAATGATAATTTTTTTTGTGTATTACATGATCTTACATAATTAAAAGGAATGCTAAGTATGCTAAGCAAATGCAAAATTTAAATACAAGGCAATCTAAAAAGGTTAAAATCTAAAGTTACCACTAAGCAATTCTAAACTAACAATGTATAGAAGAGTTCAAATTTGTATAAAAATATTTCCCCTTGCAATGAGTTTATAATCAGTGTAGGAATCTAATTATTTTAAATATACTTAATGTATTGTGCTAAGCATACTTATTATTTACCCTCTCTCGAGTGCATAAAGAACATGGGCTAATCCATAGTTAAGTCCCTAAACCTATGGTTAGGCTGGGAAGATATTAGATCTCACTCTATAATTCTCACTTACCCCTCACCTGAAGGATAACATCTTGCTTTAGTTTCCAAACATTTGGATCAAATTGGGAATTTTAGTCTGTCACTCTAAAATCTTCAATTTTACTCCCATTAAAACTTATTTTCATATTTATTTGCGCTTAATCCCATGGACTACGTTCTCATCCATGAGACTAAATGAGATTCTTATTATGTTGAGGAAAGCATAACCCTTTCAGGTCATTATATTTCACAATATATTTTAATAAATCAATTGGTCAGATCGATTAGTAAATTAAGCATAGAGTTTAAATCATCACAATTTGTGGAATTAAAAGCACTTCTACTAAACTTCATTCCTACACATAATCATTCCTCCTTGCAGGGAGAAAGACAAAGGAAACTACTCAGAAGAGGGAGAAAGACAAAGGAAACTACTCAGATCTCATGGGGAAGAAACAACAACATATAGATTTATAGATAAATATAAGTTTACAAAATAAGACTAAGTAAAATAAGCAAAATTCACGACTTATCTCAAACTTCTTCCCAAACAATCCTTCTAGTTCCTTTGAACCACTAACTCTCCTTACAATTCCACTCCAATCTCACTTAGAACTATAGTGAAGAAGATATCTCTCACTTCTCCTCTTCTCCTCCAAATTTATACAAGCCTCCAAGACTTTCTCCTCTCTTCAAGAAGACTCCCTTCTCTCTACGAAGAATCCCCTCCTCTCTAAAAAAACTCCCTTTTGGACTCTCCAGAAGTCTCTTTAAATAGAGCTCTCAAAATCACCAAGAGTTACTTCAAGTACCCAATCAAACTTCATCCAAGTTCATTGGAACAACTAAAAAAACTATCTCTGGTGCCTAGGCACCATGTCAACATTTGTCTTGTTGCTTTCTTTGACTCTAAATTGCTCTATATTTATTCCATTTGCCCCACTTGCTTCATTTACTGTACCTACAACCAAAAACATCAAAAATACCTTTCATTAAAGCACCATGTCCTTAAAAATTAGCATTAAATGTGCAAATAAAAGTATCATATTTTATGCATGTCAAAATCTCCCAAACTTAATTGTTACTTGTCCTAAGTAACTTATTTCTTTTCAAAAATTAAATATGTTAACATGTGGTAGTGGGTTTGTCCCATAAATGTAGAAGTTATGACTTTAGAAAAAATTCTAGTAATTCAGGCTAAAATAAGGCATAAGAATATTTTGTAATCAAGTCCAGGAATTCTGATTTTCTGTTCATTTCAAAACTTAATTGTAGTTTGAAAAAACATTAGGATCTCAGACAAATAACAGATAGAATTTTAGAGAACTCTGCTAATAAAGGTAAACCAATACTCTTAGGAAATAAAAGCTCATAATTGTAATAAAGCCTCTTCCTTTAAGATGATTCAAGTGAAACCAATTTTTAATTAGACATCCCCTCAAGCTTCTTCTCACTTTCACTTATGTTTTTTTCTTTTTTTTTCTCTTTTCTTTTTCTTTTCTTTTTCTCAGTGACGATTATTATATCCGGATCAACCTTTAATGATTTTGAACTTCACTATCCTCCTCCTAAAGTTAAAAAATTATCATATTTCTTTACTTTGATCATTTGTATTAGTTCTTAGAAATGATTTTCATAGAGTCTCAATTATTTAAAGTATAGATCTAAGATCTTTAGTATTTCAAAAAGACAGTCTCTTTTCTACTTTAAAGAGTAAAATCATATCCCTATTCTCTTTTATTTAATATCTTAATTCTTAGATCTAACCTTTATCACCAAAAATTTACTTAATTCTATCACAACATTTATAGAATAAAAAAAAATATAGTTCTCTAAAAATAACACCACATACCCCATATTACTTTAAAAAGATATTTTCTTTGAATATAGTTTCTTAAGGACAAATAAAATTAGGTTTTTCAAAAGTTTTTCTCCCTCCCTCAAACTTAAATTTTTCTTAATAGGTTAGAACATTTAGGATAGGAACTATAGAAGTAGGAAAAAAAATTTAAAAAAATGAATTTCTATAAAGGGTTTAACATGAAAGTATACAGGTATTAAAAACATGTATACAACATTAGTAGAGCTTAATTAATATGTATATAACAAAAGGAAATTACTAAGTATATAAGTTCTCTAAACATAACAAACATACATAACAACAGTAGTGTAGTAAAACAAGCAGTAGTGTAGTAAAACAAGCAGTAGTGCAGTAACAACAAACAACAAGTAGTATAAGCAAACAAGCAGTGATAAATCAAAACAAATCAACAGCAACAATTACTACACCAAATAGTTCAGAACATCTAACAACTTTAATAAATACATCTAAAAAAACATAACACACAACACTAATATCATAAATGTTATTCCTCGTCCTCATCTCCATCAGTCTCATCATCAGTCTCCTCATCCTCATCCATATAGCTTTGTGGTTGATTGTCCAAAAATGCAGGATTTGATGGAAACTAAACATCATGATCTCCTCGAGATGTATTGAAACTCATATCATAATCATGTTTGTGTTTCAAATATCATTGAGCATGATCAACCTTATTGTTGATATCAGTCACTTTAACTTGTAGATATGCAATATCAAGCACTAGTGCCTGATAATCACTGTGAAAATCGTCTAGAGTGGCTGAAGATTGACCAGCAGTGCCTGAGGTAGATGGTTTGGAAGTGGAGGTAGAAGGAATATCTGAACTTCTACCACTAGATCTCAATCCATCTTGCAGTTCATATACATGTAGATTGATCCTGCTAATTAGTTTAAGAGGCCGTAACAGCTCTTCCCAATTGTCATATCCTAATCCTGATTGCTTAAATAAAGTAAAAATTAAGGCAGGGTAACCTAAACCTCCAGTAGTTTCACCTCTAGAAAATAAGGATATTCTGATAAATTAGAGATCCACTATCTATAATTTTCATTTGTTGAACGCGGAAGTTCAAGGATGCTCTCTCCTTAGTAACTGATACACCTAAATATATAACATTTATGTACACTTTTTTATATTTATTTTTGAGATATTACGCTTTAATGGAAGGTATTTGTATGTTTTTCTTTCAGGTACAATTAAATGGATGAAATATGGTGAAAGGAGTGAATAATGATCAAATTTGGAGCAAGAATGAAGAAGGTGTGAAAATGAACTGTGACGCCTAAGAGCCTAGGAGTGACACTTAAGCGCCAGGAAATAGAGAAGGTCACGTATAAGCACTGAAGACCTTGCGCTTACCCGCTAAAGGCAGTTATGATAAAAATTCAAGGAATTTTGGATAAATTTTGAAGGGGTGTTTGAAGCAACTCTTGGTAAAAACGTGAATTACAGTTAATGGGCACAAAACTACATTGAAATGGCTTTTGAAAAGAGGCAACTCTTAGAAGATTCATTGAATGTGGACACATTTTAAAGTGACACCAAAGCACCTTTTGGAAAACTATAAATAGGATGACTTATATTGAATTGAAAGAGGGAGAGAAGGAGAGGAGATTAGAGATATAGGATACTTTTAGAGAGTAAGGAGTTGTAGGATTTCATTTAGGGCTTCTTCTCATTTTTATCACTCCTAGTGAAGGAGGAGTGATTAGATAGTTCTAGGTTAGAATCCATTGTAGTTTGTTAGTGTAATAAAGAGATTTTAACATTTTAACCCTCTTAACCCTCTAAGGTTGGGCGACCAGACCTAGGGAGGATTGTAAGAGAAAGGAAGAGATTCA